CAGATAAAATCGGTGACATTGATATTTTCATTTTGTTTTTAGGCAGCGTCTAATCGATTGTTATATACATACCGGGAACAAATTTATGAATGAATCAAGTAGATGTCAGTATTATAACCTCTTTAAGATATTTAACAATAAATTTATACCAAGACCGCGACTTTGTCAATATTCCGATGTTCTAGTCATAAACTAAGCAGATATAACAGTATTCCTTACAAACTTACTTATTTATCTTTTTTATCTTAATATATCCAATGTGAAATTCATGTTTCCTTTAAATTTTATAAATTTCATGACATTATACAAGAAATACTGCTTTCAGATAACATATGAGAAAATGTATTATAAAGATAAATTCATAATACTTATCTATAAATAGCTTAAATGTACTATAAATTACTGGACTAACATTTGTTTATAGTACAATGTTACTTGAGTCACTGCTTTTTACATAAAGCTGTTTTATTAAAAAAAATATGTATATAACACAAAGTGTAAAAACATGTGCTATTATTACACGCTTTTCGGTGGTTTATAGAAATATATCAGTAAAATAAAAACTGATAATTTCACTTCTTTAAACAGTGAAACTATCAATTTGATAATTTCACTGTTTTGAATATTTGAGCCCGTTACGTTGTGTCAGTGAAATACAAGCGTTCACAGTACTGGAAACCAGTTTAATGACGTGACGTCGTAAATGACGTCATGTTGTATTATTATTTGCACCCTTTTCATTTAATACTAGGTTAAAATATCTTTTTAAACGTTTCTTTGCATATAATAAAAAGAAAATTTGTCCAGTTTAATGTAAGATCGAAATATATTTCACCTCGTGAACACCAAAAGTTCATATTTTTCTCGTGGCTGCGCCACTGGTGAAATATACCTTTTGTTGCTCACTCGGTGAAATATATTCCGATCTTACACTGAACTAAACAAATATCCTCTATATAATGATAATATATAAACTCAGAGTTACCAGTTATGATTTAATTATAACACCGTAGTTTCTCTAAACGACACGTGTACTCGGTAATATTTAATAACTACGTTTTAATCTTTGTGCATTTACAGTTAAATACTACGGAACCATCTCGTCAAATCAGTTCTAATCCCTGAAATGTATTACTAGTATTGATTTCATTTGATGTTAACAAATTAATGAATAAGGGAGTGATATTTATAGTTATACGTTTTTGAGCGCACCACATTCTCACATTCATAAAATGTAAATCTTTTCTTCGACTGTGAAAGTTAAACAAAAACTATTTCGAAAGGTATTTACAACAATGTTGCAGTCCTGGTATGATTTACACATATATGCAATTCTTTTTGCCAATGTTTATCCAATTTTAATTTCTGTTTCATTTGGTACGCTCAGTAATAAAATGTTTCTTTTATACTGCACAACAGAAGGCGTCAAGTGCCTTGTGGCAGCTGTAAAACGTTGACTCGTACTTCATGATTCCAGCACTGATCAGTGTTTAAAATGATTACCGCTTTAGCCGGTATTAGAGGAGTGAGGGAAGTCGCACTTTTTTATTATCCTTAATGTAATATTGTTGGGATTAATGCTTACTAGAGATCACACGGTTACCGGATTTTATTAATTATTCTTTTAATCGATTTCCTTAGTTCGCTCTATACTTCTGAGCCTTCTAGCTCACTCTAGACTTCTCAGCCTTCTTTCCGCCGAGTTTATATATACAGAAGTCAAATGTCTACTAGAAAAACCACATTATTCACATATTTCATACACCTGCATTTTGTTTGTACCATACGTCAATTATGATACCAATAATAGACTGAAATTAATAGTTATTTGATAAAATTTTGTAATATGTTCATCAAAATTACTACAACATTTCAAGTTTTGAATGTAAATATTAAATAAACTTTAATATCGTCCAACTTATACATGAACTTTAAATACCAATCGAGTGCTTAAGTAGTCAATTCAAATGTCGAAATGTACGTGCTTCAGTTCCAACATATACATTATTTGCATAGACATGTATAACAACTCTTGATTTAGATGTTACATGTATGTATCTACAGAGGTTAAAAATACTTGTAGCACAAAGAAGTATCAACTAACTGATTAAAATAATTAATTAACTTACATAAAAAACGTGATCTCGTAGTTGACTATGTTACATTCGTGAATGATTCAACATTGATGTGTTTGGAATATTGTAGTCAGCAAATAATATTTTGTCACTTATTGGTATCGCATTTATAAAAAAAATATTTTTTTTGACAAAGAAGTTTTGTTTCTCTCTGGCTACTGAGATACTAATTTCAGACATACATTCATATTTGTAATTTGAAATATCTTCAAACTATGTATAAAACAGGGTATAAGATCTTGATTATTGAACGCATTCTCCTTTGTTTAGTTATAAACTGATTCTTGTTTAATTGGCAACCTTGAGTTATTGCTGGACGAAAGTTTCGTGTCTCGTTTGAAGCGTCATCTTGTGCATCTCTAAACCGTTATCTTTTCGACAGTCTGAAGGTATCATGACGTTTACCAAAAACATACAGTTTCTCAGTGTTGATTCCCGGGGTAGTGATAGGAGTGTTAAATTTACATATGATAGACAAGACAACTTTTATATTGAAGTGAATATATTATTGTTATTTCCCAATAAATTTTGCTTGTTTTGTTTTCCAATTATTTAATAAAAGTGAATTCATTGGAGTTGACCAATACATTTCACAGACAACGATTCATGAAGTTAGTGGGTAAATATCACAACATAACAGAACAGAACATATATTTAATTCATGACAAAATTGTACATATACAATTTACAGTCATACAGTCAAATGAATTGCGGTGTAAAGTGTAATGACTTTATCTAACAGGATTTGTAAATAATTCAAAGTATGAATATGTTACTTTATGCAGACAAAATATTGAATAAAAATACTTATACATGTTAATCAAAGTCAAAGTTATTTGTTAACGTTTTAATACTCGTATCTCATCATCTACCAATTATTTCTAAAATGACATAACCGATGTATGTACTGCACAATTATTGTTGGGGTTATCTCCCTTTACATAATATTCATTAATTCATACATTTTGTTTTCAGCTCAAAGTCTGGTAAGAGAAAATGACATATTAAACGGCAGTTAACATTTTTTCTAAGATGACATAACCATTGTATGTACTAAGCAATTATTGTTGTGGTTATCTCCCTTTTATCAGAATGCATAAACTTTAATGAGTGTACATGTGTCCCTATACAGATTACTTGCCAAGATATTAATTGTTTTGATGATTGTACTTGACGTAAGTGTTTAAAACTTCGGCATTGTAGGCCATCGTTTAAAAATCTTTCTATGTAAATTGTAATATTTTAGGCATATTAATAAGAAATGTTATTCTGTTTCTACCAAATTCAATGATTCAATTCCGACATTTTATATTTTCTGTAGCCGAAAACTGTCCAATTTCAATATGATACCAAGAATGAAAGAGAAAACAAAATATGATACGATATTAAAATAAATAGACAGCGATTTGTAGTAGAAGTTTTTCCTGACATTACTAGCAAAAATGCACACGCATATTACGAAAATCATTTTCTAGATTGCAACATGTGCTGTATCAAAAAAAGAAGTTCTTAAGATTATTCTTCGAGTGTTTTCCTAATCCCTCTTTATTTGCACATAATAGAGTGATAATGAGGACTGCATGTTTTCGCATAAAGTTTTCGTCTATTCGATCATTATCTATAGTTATATGTTTAAATTTGCTTCATTGTTTCCTTGATGTACCAGGAAGGTCTTTTTTATATCGAAAACAAATAATAAAAGGAGATAAATCTAATCGTGAGTAATTTGTATGTTGCTTATGTTTGTCGGATTTTCACTTATTAACAAAGTTTTTATTTTATTTGTTAAAATACAAACACCAGAAGCGTTTAACATTAACCAGATATTTAAAATTCAATCAATATGGTATTTTGGTTTTGACTGATGACATAATTTATGTAGATTTTCTGACATGTAACACGGGAGAAAATACATTTTAACAATGGAATGGGAAGTGACCTTTTGCTTTTACATAAATAAAGCCATAATGTTGCATAACAAAACAAAATACTTTGTAGTCTTTGTTAAATGTTGGCCCGACCCTATGACAATAGTAAATCTTATTTGTATCAGGATTTGTTAATTCACAACTATGATCTCTCGAGCCGTTCTTTGAGGTTTCAACCTTTTCTCTGTCAATTAAATGATACATATTTTTGTACTGTTACAGAAGATTCTGATGGGATAATGAAAGAAGCAATAAATAGTTTAAAAGGTCCACAAAAATTGAACAAAGACTTGTACAGTGAATCTAACCAAGATAAATGTGCCCTCAGATTATCTGATGTTTCACAACACTTCAATCCCATAACGACTGACTGGGGTACATGGACTTATAAAAAGAGACTTGTTTGTCCAAGTTTTGATCTGAGAAACTATCGTTTTACGAACCATCCTCCTGTAATCTACATCAAATGCGGAACAACTAACCTGCATAAGCGAAACCAAATACAAACAATATCACATGAAAGTGACTGTGTCGATTATTATATCAAACAATGTTGTACAGATAAAATGACAGTTCCGAAGATTGTGCATTACGTGTGGTATGGACTTAAAGTCAAATTTGATTTTTATGGATTTTTAGTTTTATAAGTGCTTTACAATTCGTCCGTCCCTGCTTGATATTGATCCATGGAAATATTTTACCGCAAGGTTTATATTGGAAGTTTATTATGAATATATATCCGAAGAAATTCACATTGAAAGACTTATTGAATCCAAGAAGATATTCGGAAAGAAAGTGAAACACATCAATAATTTAAGTGATGTTATTCGTATTGAAGCCTTGTTGAAGTATGGAGGAATATATTTAGATATGGACATGGTACTTATGAGAGATGTTGACTTGTTACGACAGTATCCATGCACTATGTCTTATTTAAGACCACATTTTCACCTTGATTCTTCGTATATTATGGCAAAACGAAACTCCACGTTTATGCAAAAATGGCTTGATGGTTATAAGTATCACTATATAAACGATTCCTACTCCTATAGTGCTATGCGATACCCTTACATGTTGGCTACAAATTTCACAGATTTAATACACGTTGAAAATGAGACAATTTCAAGACCTTACAGTCTGTATGGTGTTGCAATATTTAAACATGGACTTCGTTTACTAGTATTTGATTGGTCAAAACTTTACGGCGTTCATCTTTACAGCAGAAAGAATGAGGAAGCTGTGAACGAGATGGTTATAAGAGACCTAAATACAACGTTTGGAGCTATTGCTCGGCACATAATATTTGGAAATAAAGAACTATGCTCTAAATAAAATCTACTATAGGTAGTACTTGTATAAAGATATATTAATTTGTGATTTTTACGGCCAAATAAGGTGTACTCTGTATATGAAAAGGATAAAAAGCTCAATAATTACTAGTCCTTTGTCGTCTTATAAATGGTATTAGAGTAACATCTTGAATGATCAACCGTCAAAATAAATAGCAGATACTGATTAACAAGAACGATATTCAAAGAAACATCACTATACATTGATAGTAGAAAATGCATGATAAAATAAAACGTGTATTTTGAAGCAGTTCTTATTGTGCATACTGTGTGACATTGCTATAGAAATACAGTGTAGCACAATGGAATACTTATTCTGTTAACAGACATCACTATCTTGATTAAACGACCTAGTATAAATAAGTTGATGACAACGCTTTATGTCATTCATAACTGATGACGATTAATATGGAACACTATTACCTGTACCAGAAAATGAGATACGTCTTATATTAAGATAATTATACAAAGTGTTTTAGGTGATTGCCTTGCACTTTTTGTAATAAAGGTAAAGATGGACAGCAGAATAACTGAGATACGTCTCTATATCATATTAAATAAACAAACAGAAATGTGAAATGTTTCATTTAACCGATTTTACTGGAAATAATTCCTGAAGGAGTTCGATATCTGACCAAATTTTAATTATATTGAGTGGAGGGGTGTTTGAAATTTCAAGCAAGCAAAATCAAACATTAACATTTTTTTGAATTCAATACACAATACATTGCGAGTATATCACTCTTAAAACATATCACGTCCTTAACCTGCTGGAACCGAAAGTGATCAGCGTGTGCCACCATTATAAAGCCTGACCGGCGTTCATGCATATCTGTGCACTCCGACAAGGTTATATACTGTCGGGGGCTCTATTTCTGTATTTTGATATTACGATATATCCAATATTATTCCAAATTCATAACAGAATATTTTCTTACACTTATTCAGCTGGTTAATGATATTTTTCGAATTACGTTGCTTTCTTAAAAAAAAAATCACTAATGAGCATAAAAGCTAAAAGAAAAATATATGGGCATAATTGCATTTTAATTTCTGAAGCCGTACCTCCAATTTTACAGGTCTTTAAAACGGTCTGCCAACGAAGCCCTTACTTGTAGGGTGAATACAACGCGTGACTTGTTGTGAAATTGTTATGGTATGACCGTGTTTGTTAACACAATATGTATACAAATTAATATCATTTGGGTACAACAATATAGTTTAGCTATTTCACTGATTCCCCACCATTCGTTTCCAAAATGATCATACAAATAATTGTTGTGAGTAAGGTCAAGACAGTAAAAGCATAAAAGTTGAATTTCTCCGACATGATCACCATGTCTTCATATGTGTATTCAAGTTGTTCGTCTAAGTTATCATCCTCTGGTTTATCAGTTTCATTTTCAGCCCAAGCGGTGCCTTTACTTTTTGATAAGTCAATTTTCTCTTGGGTGACAACTTGAGTCTCTTTGATACCATGTACATCTTTTACCTCGGACAAGGCATCACCTCTGGGTCTTCGTCTGAAAGCGAGAGCGGATTTAGATTGCAAACAATAATAAAATATTCGTTTGACTGATGCTGTTTTGGTCCTAAAATTGTATTAACGTAATGTTTACAATATAGCATCAGTGATATTTTATATGAAACCTTACTTCAACGATTTACTTCGTGTCCACGATATATGTATTGTTTTCACGACATACATGTACATGTAATATCTTGTTCACAAAATATAATTTTCTGTTCCAACGATATAATACCTCGTTTTCACAACAATAATATAGACATGTATCAGAAAATAAAAAAGAAATTCACATGATACCACTGTACCACCGTGAGTACTTGAACCAAACTATAACTTCCAATAATAATTGACTTTACCCCGACATAATGAATTTCTTTTGTACGGATCACCAATAACCTAAAACAATACAATTAAATTGCATCCGCCAATTTCAAACAGAAATCTATTTGCAGGAATTAGTGTGGTCATTATGTAAAGGATTACTTTACACAACAACTATAAATGTTAATAAAAGATTAAACAACTGTCATTGTATTACAAGTATCAGCGGATGGAAGGTGATAATTTACAAGGAGCCTTTGTATTATAGTTGAAAAACAATTTCGAATATTTACATTATATAAAATATACATTTCCTGCATTGTAATGTTAGAATCAACAACACAAGCATACTAACCCGGGAAAGATAGTGTTTTATTTAACGAGTTTTGGGAAAAAAAATTTTAACAACAAAAAAAAAACCAAAACCAAAAAAACCCCAGAATGACAAAAAATGAAAAATGTGAAAAGATCGGTTTGATTGAGCCTGTTTATGGACGATATTGGTGCAAGCTACCATCCACGTCCCACCTAGCACGGACTAAAGCAGAATTCACCATTTAAACAAAAACAAAAAATGGCGAAAGTGGATCAGAGGATATGAAGTCTGCATATCACAGAGAAGACGTCAAAAAACTAATTTAAAAAAAACATGCAACATATCCTAAGGGTGATTATACAGTATTCAAGAATGAGGAATACAGGAACATTCCTGCAGTATGACCAGTATGACCAAATGAAATCATTGTTGTACTGATAGCTTATATTTTATATTTTGATATCGAAATCCCTTATTATTGTTTAAATAAAAAGCTTCAATTTCAAAACAGGACAAACAAATTACATAGATTCAGCGGAATAAAATTGAATACAAACCTGTATTTTGTTAGTTTAGCAAGAAGTTGGACAGTTTTCTTGCATGTTGTGCCCATGATGTAAGTCTTATTATGGAGCTCGTGAACTCTGCATACAAGCACCGTAACCAGTGTTTGTACAGAACACAGAATAAATGTCATTAATAAATATACACCTGAAAGTAAATATAATTAAATGATTAATATATATGATAACTTGCATACAAATCATATCGATAAAGTCTGCATTTTCTTATTTCGCGTTTAATAAGTACTTAAAATTTAATTAACAAAAACGTATTAATTAGGCATTAAGGTATTTATTGAATGCCGTTTCCTAATCTAATTTGAAGAACTCAGGGTTGCGTTTTATATAAAGTGTCGTAAGTGTATCCTAAAGTCTAAGACATAAAACCAACTTCAGGATTATCTTGAGGCTGTTTCGATAAAAAATTTTATCTTCAGTCAAAGACGGAAGACAATAATTAAATTCATTTTGCTGATAAAAGTTAAGAAATACAATGACAGATTTTTATATTCACAATGTGTTGTTGCTCATCTTTATTGCTATTCAGAAGAGTCATAAAATAAGAGTCTTCTATGAAATGCAAAATTGGCTCAGTTTTGGTCTCAAGACTGATTTCAGACTTTCTATTTAACACAGCAAATGTGTGTATCATATAATAGCCGCTAAAACAGCTATATTTTGACATACGCAAACAATCAATCGCGCTATGATATGATGTTTGAGTACACAGTTTCATACCCTGTTTATAATATATGTCATGGTAATTTATGGATAAAAGACTTTACGAGAAGTACATGTTAAAACAAAACTATCCGATGAATGAATTTGTTCAGAAATTGAAAAGAAAGATAAATATATGAAAATATTTTTTAATCCAATCCATATCTGTTGTTGTTGTACTAAGTTGTAAACATTGGCTGCAAAATGATTTGTTCATCTAGTGTAGAGTTTAAGAATTTAAACACACGTTATCGATGCATATATAACTTACTCAGAACGCAGATATGAGTTGATGTCGGCGGTATACTGTCTGAAACTATTGTCATAACAACTGACAATGACAATAAAATTGTCAGAGCAAAGCCAATCTTTTCTCCGCTTTCTACCGGCAGAATAAAAACAAATGGCGCCATCGTAGCAAGAATGATAACTGGGAGGAGCATGTTCAACAGATAGTATGAATACTTTCTCTTCAGTTCAAGAGTGAAATCTATTGCTGGCAGCTGGTAACCACTGAGTGATCTAAAACAATCAAGTTAAAACAAACATAACAATCGAGTGTAAAAGTCAGTGTATGTTGTCAGTTTTCAGACGCAAAGAAACAAAGTATTGACAAAAGGGGGAAGTACTAGTAACAAAATATTACCGTTAAGAGATGTTGTATTCATATTTTCACAAAGAAAACAAGGATGTTGTTAATCAATACGAGCATTTGCTTGAGTCAATAAAAAACCAAAAGCTAACAATACAAAACTGAAACCAATTGTTTTCATGCATCATATAATTAATAAGTATTAATATGTTTTAATGATAAATGTATATTTTTTAATTATGTCCAAATGCTAATGACAGGTCTAAATAATGCTTGCTCGTACATGTACACTAAAATATTACATTTGCGTAGGTAAATGAGGGTACTATAGGATTGGATGATGAAAACATATATATAAGAAATCAAACCTGTAGAAATTTGAAAGACTCAATAACACCAAGTCTTCAATTTCATGGTTTTGCAAAACTCAAGTTACAAAAGTGGTTTTAACATTTCAGATATATGTAAGTTAACAACAGCAAATGTTGAGTGTGTGGTGGCAGCTGTTTAATATTGGTTGCTCGACGTTTATCTCAGTGTTCTGATAAATTCCTGGTTCTAAGGAGTCAGTACAAAATTTGTGAAGTATTGAATACAGGTTAAGCTGGTGCTAAAGGTCATGTAAGATGTTTCATTTTTCATTTTGAAACCTGTGCATTATTATTGTTCATAATTGTCCCAATTTTTAAAACAGTGATGTTAACACTTTGCTTACCTTGTTCTGTTTGTTACTGATGTCCCAGTGACTTCCCATTCGCCGTGTTCCTCATAAATGTCAAGATTGATGGTTCGTGACATTGCACCAAGGTCTATCATAAATTCAAGAAACAACCAAGATGAAACCTTCAATAAAAAACATTGTTTTTACAACTTTACTGATTAATATTCAACAGACAAGTTTGTCAGTGTACTTGTGCAGAGACGAACACATTTGAATTGATTCTCTGCTACATTTCGATTTCCTTAATTTTATAACGCTATAAGAATTAATGAATGATGTTTCCAGAATTTTGTGAAAAAAACTCGATGCGTGCACCAATTCACTGCTTATTACGATAGCATCAAAATGCTGTATTTACATTTTTCATTGTCCTATTCAAATGTGTCATAATTGCTTTTCTAGTTTGTTTTTTTTTTTTTTTTTTTAATGAGGGGTTAGACCAATATTTGGGTGCAAAGTTTCAGATCATTCGCTCACTCTTTTTTTTTCTTTTCAAAATACTGAAAGAAATTATCGCATGACTGGGACATGAATGGTGATACGCCTTAGGCATTGATTGTAGTAAATGTTGTTTTGAAATAATTATATTTTTAGATAAATATGTTCTTTAAGTGGTGACAATTAATGTCAAAGCAATAGTAAGTGAAAAAAGTCTTACCACTAACTTGCAGCTTTGTGAATCAAATGGATAGTATTTAATGTTGACTGTGCATTGTGCTACAAAACTGGCAGGTGCCATCCATACGACATCCCCTGTTGAAGCCACATATACAGGAGAACTTGCGAAATCAGAATTGTCACCTAGTATCTTTAGTTCGTCAGCTCTGAATTTTGTTTTATTTTATAATAAATATATACACAAGTTTATTCAGGTAAATGTTTTTAAAACGATATAATTTCAAAATGGTATACACACACGATACAAACAGTATACGATGAACAAACAAAAGTAGAAACTGTGAAGAAAGAAAAACAAAAATATATTTTAAAAATATATATAAAAACACAAACGTTTAAATGAGTGTGTGAGCGTTTATTAATATATTAAACTTTTCAGAAACTGGTAATTACATAAAATTTATATCGAATGTACGATTTTATGGTTTTAAAAACAAATCATTGAAAGAAAAAAGTGAGGTTGGTTCTAGAAACCTACGCGTTGATAGGAAAAGGCGAGCTTGATTGTAACTAAAACATAACTTACGCATTACTCAAAACTAATGGCGGGATCCATATGTCAGAAAGTCTAAACATAGAAGCCGTTATATTTCCGTAATTTGAAGGTGTCCATTGCAATCGGTCATCCTTCCAGTCCTGGAAAAAAAAGTTTGAAATTATGTAGAAAGAGAAATATGACAACATAAAATGTGTGTGTATGTTTTTTTGTTTTATTAATTTACTAAAACTATTACTTAAAGACTTTGTTTGTTTGATTAATCAGTCTTTCTTTTCTATCATAGATATAAGAAATTTAACTAATCTTTCAAGTTCATTGGACTAATTGTGTAACTTGGTTTGGCGATTATACATTTTACCAACAGTATAAAGCCATGTCAATCCGTTAGTAGCTATTTTTTCCGGCCAAAGGCAATTTAATATCAGTTTGACTTCCTGTAATATCTACATGGAAGTATTGAATTTAAGAAGAAATTGTCGTGGTATCATTGATAATTTTTACATTTTACATTTCTTTTTACTGCACTTTTACATGTGATTTGGTATCTTTTATTAAGATCCTGTATATTGAATAAGTACGCCGATTTGTGTATTACTTCTTGACGTCTCTTCCTGTAAGATGAAGAATTCTAGTCGAAATGTTGTATGGATTTTATAAAACAATTATTATATTTTTAAGTTGAAACTGGAGTTCATTTCTATATTCAAACTTACATTTGTCATTTCAAAAGTTTTGGGAGTACCATTGGCCATTCTGATATAAAATGTAAAGGAAAGCTATTGTTTATTTTGATTATTATTTATAACATTGAATGCAGTGTTTTGAATGCAAAGCACGGCAAATCAATTAAAAAACTTTGCGAACATAAATTTTACATATTAATGTAATACAACTGCATCTTGTTTTGTTTTGTAAGATACATACTAATTTTCCTATATTGTAATTATAGTCACAGTCATATGGTAATTAGTGTATATAAGACATGTATATATTTTTATTGGAGCATTTAATTTGACCAAATGTGAGATAAAAACAAACAGCTAATAGTTTTAAAATATTTATCTTCATTGTAAAAATGGTGTAACATTTTTGTTAATTCGTGAAAGGTAAAGGAGACTTTTCTCGCAACCGTTGAACTGACACGTCACGACCCATATTTTCTGTATACATGGATATATGGTTCTTTTTATTTTCAATGAACCAGATAAGTGCCTTTAAATCACAATTGTTTACTTACAATTAAAAGAAAACCCATACTGAATAAACGTTGAGTTACAATGTCCTGAAAATATAGAATGAAATTATGAAAAATAAAGTTATATAAAAATATATTTTATCTAAAATGTCTTAATAATTTATATTTATTCAACCATGATATAGTCTGATTTTATTGACCTGTCAATTATGAATACATTATAGGACTCATTTAAATATTCGATCCGCTTTCGGTTTGGTCCGTGTAGTTTACGAGAATTAATGTGTAGTATATTAGTCATGGATTGAAAGTCACGCCAGCTTAATGTGAAGGTTTTCGTTAATTCACAATAGCACAGTCGGTAAAGAGAATGCCTGATAACTGAGAGGTCTGTGGTTCGATCCTTACTATTGCCATTGTTTTAGTACTTTTTCTTTATTTTGGCAGTATATTTTAATGGAACAGATTTGTAGTGTGTTTTAAGGCATTGAAAAGACATTTTTTTGAATTTAATCCGTTTTAATTTTAAACATGAATTCTTAAAAAAACATTTTATTTAAAAAGAGTATATACATAACAAAATTAAGTAAAACATAATCAAATAAAACGAACAACATAAAAAATCATATATAGATTCAATGTTGAAAGTATTAATAAGAAAAAAACATATACCAACGCGGCCTCGAACTTAAAACACGCGTGGCAAGTAGATTATAAACTCGTGATTTACCCTATTGCGCTATTACGTTGAGTACACTTAGTTTAGAGATACAAATTAAATTAAATTGCATCGTACAGCGTACATCTCACGGAACTTACCGAACATCTACCGAAGATTAATATACTGTGTGCATCGACCGTGTAAGACAGGTAAATAAAACCAAACAATAAGTGTCAACTTATTGTTAACGTATAAATTTCCTTAAATATCTTACCGACTTGAATGAGTTTTTGCGTTGTATTTGTTTGCAATTTTTGCAATGTCGAATTAATAAAAGAAAAACTGCCAAAATAAACTTTTGCCATGGACATATTTTTCCGGTTTGTAATGGCAAATACTGCGTGTATGTTTTTGAAAACGATAAAATAAAGATTTGTTCTTTTAATCATTTAATAAAATGTGATAATTGTATTTGCAATTTAATAACGCATATACAATTCATATTAAATTTCTTTTGTATTGTTTTTTAAAGTTACCATATAAAATATAGAATTCTCGCAACGTTTCTTTCATATGCTCTGCAAGATTTATTGAATTATTTAATTATATTTTATAAAACACGAGGTATTACATTCCTGAAATAGTAATATGGAATAGAGCTAAAGAAAGCCAAAACATCGACAAAACTGAAACCTACCAGTTCAGATATATGCAACAGTCCAAATTCCAACAAAAGGTTTGTTTGTGACTGTGGTCTTTGTTTCTTATCGTAATTAGCCAACATGTCTTTTTGTAACGTAGTTGTATCATTTACTGTGTAGACTCTCTGACTGGCTACTTCTTCTTGGAAAATGCTAAGACAACATACTGAAATGAACACATCGTTGTTAACTTATTAAGATACTCGAATTATCCCTAAAATATAAGGCCTGTTATCAACCCTACTAACAATTTTCCTAATTAATTTTAAGTTAATTGCTTTATGTATAGAACTGTTTAGTTCTAAACGTGTCTATTCAGGTTTTTGACACAAAGTTGAGCTATTCTTGATTAATTAGTTATTTATCTTTACTACTGAAACATTTTCAAAGGAATATCTTTCTACAAAAAAGATTAATTTGTAGGCAAAGACTAACAGACATGATAAAAAATTATATTTGTAATATAAATGATATTAAAACTTAAAAAGACTTCATGTGTAGATCTACATGAATAATTTGAAATTTATTCAATTGAAATAATGCTTTTAGTTGTACAAAAATGTAACACATAATAAAGGGCGAATTGTGCACTAGTTGTGAAAACAAAAATCTTGGAACATGGCTCATGAAATAAATACGATTCCTTTAAACCTGGTATTGAGGTTCTGCTTATAAAATATTGCCGCCAAAAGCCGCAGTTATCAAATTTTAAATCAAATATTACACATTAGTATAAAGTTTGAAGATAATCTAAGGAAACATTAATATGGCTGTAAAAGTTGAAAATTACCACAAAAACGTTTATTTGACCCTGTTAAAGGACGTTCGCTAAAGTTGTCATAAAGTAAAAAACCTCCGTATAAAAGACATTTACATTTTGGCGACGATATAGGATTTTACTACTAAAAAAACATTTACTTTCTGTCTGTTTTTTCACAGAAAGTAACCAATGATTTGAAGGATAACAAGTATATTAATCACTAGTATAGTCAAAAATGACAAAATGGATGTGGGAACATTCACTTACTATATTTTTCAGCATTGGTTAGGAAACCTGATTTGAAACAAAGAGCTAATTGAATAGTCTTTCCTCAAAGAGGACTAAAAATTAAGCACATGTTTCAGTGCATTTCTACTATGTTAAGCCTATGGTCAAAAATGCAAGATGATGTCACGGGTACTGGATTTTGTAAGATTGTTGATCACAGATGGAGTTTACATTGGGCACCTAATGAAAAAAAACGGAGGCAATATATTTTCGTAACGCGCCAATGGCAAATTGTAACAGCAAACTGTTTCCAAGATCATATATTTTAAGAACATTACGGTGAACAAAATGCCCCCAAAGTTAGTATGATAAATAAACCTGGCCCACAGCCTTAACGATAAAAATTGCGAATATAATTGAAATGCTTGTTTACAAATCCATGTATATTGTGGTGTAAAATGACATATGCTTGTGAATTTGTTAAAATAAATATTTTTAAACTCAAATTTGCGATAACATGTGGCCGAACATTTCTACTTATCCAATGAACAAGTTTTTGCACTTCAAGTCAAATCGAATGTCTGAATATTAAATACCTAGTCTCATGATCAAACATCAAACATGCAATCATCTATACTGATAACATTTCATGTTAAAAAACAATACATTATATAAACCCTAGAATGTAACCTTTATAGAAATTTAAAAACTAGTAATTGTTCTGTAATTGTCAACCAGGGATATTCGTTAAACTGGAGTTGATTTCTATCACCCAGTCAGGACAAATTATTTCTAATTAAGGACTTTATTTCTGAAAGAAACAAAATCAATTTTCATAATTGTAAATCGTTGTTTTAATAGATTTCATCACAAAGTGTCGGGTATTGCTTGGTATTTCAATTATTTCCGTACTGTTTCGCAAATATTTGTATTGTTTCGTTTCAACGTTTTTCAAAGGTATCTCATTACTATGATGATTTCTATAATGCTTTATCGATCATTAATAGTAAATAATTAATACCTAACTCATTAACTGATAACGACTATGAAAAATTACTCGTTTGTGATTCTTTTATGACATTTAATATTATTATTGCCCGCGTCTTTTATATAAGCAGCAATCAATATAAATAATTAGAAAACAAATCATCTACGTAGCATGAGTCTACGACTTTCTAAAAAGCTATTCGCTCTCATTATCCTGATATTCAGATAACTATCAATACATGTGTTCAATGGAATTTGCAACTGACGTGAATGCTATATTTATCGTTTGAAAAATGTTTTGCTTTCTGTCCAGAATAAGATAATTATTTATGAATTTATGCTTTAATAGAAACGTCAACGGAGATTTGATTCCTTAATATTATTAAAGAGAAGAATTTACAAAGCGCGCTTTATACAAACAGATGCTGTCTGACTATAGAACATATTTGCTTTCTGAAGGAAGCAGTATAATCTCTTACATTCGAATTTGCCCTTTATACATGTTATATTCTGGTTAAGCGTGATTTTTTATAACTTAAGTTATAAAATACAGCACTTTTGACCTTAAAAATTATAGTTACCTTTAATTCAGCTCCAAAAGTTGAATGGACCTTAACTTCTGGCTGATTATTGTGACTAAATTTTGAATAAGAAAATACCTAGTAAGTTATATGTTAACTTTTAAATAAATCATGCGTAATTCATTTAGTAGTTGAAGAACACATTATAAGGGTAGATTAATAATCTCAGTATATCCAATTTTAGTAACAAAACCAAGCTTAATTGTCTAAATGGATTATATTATATTAAAAGATTTACTAATTTAAAAAGATTACAACAGATTAAATTACAGCGGTATGGCCGGTATCTTAGATAAATGTCACAAAAAGTTTTAATTTTAAGGTATAAGGTGCCTTATGCAGAACCTCCTTCTGACAAATATTTATTTTCATTGAGGATACTGAGTTTACTTGGCGCGTGGGTTCAAGCCTGTAACAGGGCCTATTTGTTCTTACATTTCATTTTTGGGGTCTTGGTAGATTATGGTTTTAACTGTTTTTAAAAATCATCTTAAAGTAAGAAATATTTGCAATTTGCTTTATACTTTTTACTGTTAATTGAGTGAAAATAAGGTATATTTACAATTTCAAAGTGATAAGGTCTACAATGGGCACATTTTACATATGTATTTCAAATATTGATTAAAACAATAGAAATTTATAATTTGGATATGTTTTTATGAAATGATGCTTGAAATAAAATGCCGATAAAGCGCTAAGTGTTGTAGAATTGTTATTTATATACAACTATATGAAATATCCCATCATATATCTCACACTTGAACAGCTTCCGTGTGTAATTCTTTCACGGTTTGCAATTATGTCTAATAATAAATACTATCAGAGTAATTATAAATGTATAACAGACATTCCATTATAGACCGATTCACTTTAAATGTTTATATTTCAGATCGGGATGGTAAACTTCCTTTATATTGTTGGTACAAATGTTTAGAATTGTATTTAGATAATTATTATTTCAAGATAAAACGATATCCAATTGATAGATGAAAAATAGACAGTTTTAGAGCCCACCCGTTTTCTGTTTCATCAATCAAACAGATACATGCTTCAGTTAACCTCAATTATTAATTAAGATATGATTTTCATTTGTTTTGTTTTTTTAAACTATTGCTGTTTCTTACCTCTTTTATTGTATGATTGTTTGTGATTAGAAACGTAAGTTTTTAGAAGACTTTTGAAGCATTGTCAGTCATACATCAGATACCTTAACAAATTATAGCCATGAGTAAGAACGGATTTTTTATTAATAACCTTTAGTTTTATATCTAAATCATTTTACGTAAGCATTCATAAAAATGTATAACATTTTCATGATATTAATGTTCAGAAATTCAACTTCGCTCGCTAAATGCTGGCTGTCTGATTAAATATATCTTGTGTGCTCGTTTATGTCGGATTCATTTTTTTAAGTGTTTTATCAAATAAAATAATAATTATCAACACGTGACGACAGTTCTAATATATTTATCTATTTCATGCTAAAAAACGTGGAGACTTACCTACAGTGCATGCAATATCACGTATACCCATCTTAAAAAATGTATAATTCAAGTATTACGCCGATATTATCTATCATATACTAATAGCAATAACAGCGTTTCCTTTTTACACTCTCACAATATTTCAATTTCAAGTGTTAAATACAATATTGATTCAAAACGCCGGATCAAGTGTCACAAAAATACTTTTTATTTAAAATGTGTTTACTTGTTTACTTGTAAGTGAAATGTTCTTCTTAAAGCTATTGAAGGTTAAAGTAATTAATTACTTTACTATGACACTGGAACGGCGCAGACTTTCATTCATTGAAAAAACACACGCTTGTTTATTGATATAGTTATTGGGTTTTTTCAAGCTTTTGGACACCATCTTAATTACTTGTTTAAAGGCATGTTTTCATTACTTTCCATTGTTCAAATATTCTGAATATTGTCTAGATTAAACGAAATTAAGTACACGAAAAAGTGGTGGCATTTTTGTAAAACAAGAAGTATAATTAACTGTGGAATGACAAGATTTATTTTGCCAGCAGTTAAGAAAAATCCAAGTACACAGTGCATTAGTCTGACACTTCGGGACACATTTTAAATGTACACGTTTCCTTTTATATTTCCGTTAAATTAAAAGGTAATAATTTTCTCACGTTGTCGCCGTCTGTTAATGGGAACAGTTTTTGCATTGGACAAAACCCATTGGCTTAAGAGCTGTTGATTGCATTGCTATGTACCTTCTGACTTTTTTATATACCCATCTATTTGAAGACAACGATACGAAAGCATTTAAGTATCAAAAAAGCGTTATAACGGGAATGAAGGCATTGTAACGCGAAAAAAGGCGTTATAAGGCAAAAGGCGTAAAAACGCGAAACAAAAGGCGTAGTAACGCAAAAAAAAACGTAGTAATGCGAATCAATAGCGTAATAACGCGAATCATAAATCTGAAGGCGTTATAATTCGAATTGAAAAGCGTAATTACGCAAATCAAAAGGCGTGATAACTCTAATCAAAAGGCGTAATTACACGAATCAAAATTATTATTATAACGCGAAACAAAGGTGAAATAACGCCTTATTCGCTTATAACGCGAAACAAAAGGCGAAAAACGCGAATCAAAAGTCGTCATAACGTGAATAAAGGCGTTATAACGCGAATCAAAAGGCGTAATTAAGCGAAAATTGAGCTTTAAATAGCCGTAATTTTTCTATTTTGTGGATAAGTCATTAAAAACATCAGACCCTTCAAGTGTTACCAAAATATTAAAAAGCACACATCGCTTCGTTTGTATTGATGGATAAAGGAAATCATTTAAGCATGAACACGCTGAAATTGTTTAAGTCTCAAAAAGGCAATATTCAATATTTTGTGATCTTGATAGAACAAATATTTTACATGACCCATTATCCCTCTTTATTTGACCCTGTCCCGACCCTAAACTGTCTTATTCAGATTATCAGAGTAGCAATTACCCAACAATTTCACTATAACCTTTATGTTAACAAATGCTATACTTCTTAGAAACCTCGCGACGCGAGACAGCTTAAAAATTCAACATATAAACTTTAAGGTTTTATAATCGTGCCTTTTTTAATATGGTTCAATTCTCAATCATCTGCAACCATTAAACAACTTCGTGACGACGTTGTTAACAATTTTGTCAAAATACATCATTTGTTCGCAGCCATTGTACGACTGCGTAAAAGCTCGCTTATCAATATTTCAAATAGTTATTGAGACAATCCACTTTAAATGAAATGTAAAACAATTGGAAATGACAGATCTTGAATCAAAATTAAATTCGATTCGAATACAATCATCAAGACAATATGTTTAAAATCCAAAGAAGTATCTAGTTACTAGTACATGAATACAGTTGATATATCATTATAAATCATCTCGATCTCGCTTGTCAATATTTGAAATGCTTATTGAAATAATACATATTAAATGAAATGAAAAGTAAAAAAAATGACCGATATTCACTTAGAACCGAATTCGATTCCAATACAATTATGAAAGACAGACGAGATGTTCAATCAAAATAAGTATCAAAGTTACATTAATACAGCGAGTATATTCATTATAAAGCATCTTCCTTTTTAGTATATATCCTACAGTTGTATCTCATGTATTTAGAGCTTGCTTCACTTCGGGTAAATTATAACTTGAAACACATACAATAGTTAGTGTTTACATACTTTTATTCAACATATTTTACATCTACAAACATTTACAATAGTGAATATCATCAAAGTGTTATTATTATCTGACTTCTTTTCAGAAGTTCTTCATTTTTTTCAAATGAACGAACTCCACTGAACGCCGAAACACATTAAAATTGAGCTTCTTACATAGATCAGGTGAGAACATATTACACAAAAGTATGCATTACAGGAATAAATAGTAATATTGTAAAGATTTAGGAACATTACATATATACATAGTAACACTATTCTAAGAACATTACAGAACTACATAGGAAACATAGTAACACTGGTCATAGTTTCAGATTTAAGAACATGACAGGAGAACATAGTAACACTGGTCATAGTTTCAGATTTAAGAACATGACAGGAGAACATAGTAACACTGGTCATAGTTTCAGATTTCAGAACATGACAGAAGAACATAGTAACACTGGTCATAGTTTCAGATTTAAGAACATGACAGGAGAACATAGTAACACTGGTCATAGTTTCAGATTTAAGAACATGACAGGAGAACATAGTAACACTGGTCATAGTTTCAGATTTAAGAACATGACAGGAGAACATAGTAACACTGGTCATAGTTTCAGATTTAAGAACATGACAGGAGAACATAGTAACACTGGTCATAGTTTCAGATTTCAGAACATGACAGGAGAACATAGTAACACTGTTCATAGTTTAAGATTTAAAATATAATTCATAGTAACACTGTCCATAGTTTCAGATTTAAGAACATTACAGTAATACATAGTCACACTGTTCATAGTTTCAGATTTAAGAACATTACAGAAATACATAGGAACACTGTTCATTGTTTCAGATTTAAAGGAATAAATAGTTACACTGTTCATAGTTTCAGATCTAAAGAAATAAAAACATTACAGGAAGTAAGATTTTTATGATACAGCATAGTAAGTTGTAGGTTGTCAGAACTGTACATTTTAGTATTGAATTCATATATTAAATATTGATATGATTTCATTACCTGACCCCGTTATCACTAAGAAAAGATCAGGATCAAACGGTCATGGTTTAGTTTACATTATTTTATGAAAACTAACATTCGTCGTATTTTGCAAGAATTAAATGGTACATATTCAAAACGCAACAACCAAAAATGCTGATTTGCAAAGAAACAACCTATTTTGGGATAAAATCGACGAATAACAAAAACAAAATCACCGTATTAAAATCAGGATCAATTTAAGGATCAATATCACTATTTGGATCAACTGTCAAATGCCTATATCTTGCAAAAATAACAATAAATTTATTCTTGAATTTCATAAACATGCTAATTCAAGTCCATTTTTATCAAGTTGATATTAAATATTTGATTTATGAGGATAAACAATGGAGAATATATGAGTTTTCGAATGTGTTCGTTGACCCTGATCCTTTAATCTTTGTGGAAACAGGGTCTGTACGTTTAGTAATTTCACAGCTTATGCATGTGGATTTAAAAAAAACTTTCTCCTATCAAATCGTTCATTTAATTAGAAAATTAGTGTATTGATTCTCCTCCATTTGTATGCAAAATCATCATACAAATAAATGTTGTGAGCAAAGTCAATGCAATAAAAATGAAAAAATTGAATTTCTCCGACATAATAACCATGTCTTCATATGTAAATTCACTTTCAAGTTGTTCACTAATGTCATCGGCATCCCTTTTAGCTTCATTTTCAGTCCACGCAGTGTTATTTCTATTGGATAAGTCAACTTTCTCTTGGCTGACAACCTGTATAACTTTCGGATCATGTTCGTCGTTTAGCCCAGGATAATCACCAATTTTTGGTCTTCGCCTGAAACCGTTTTTGAACTTTAAATACACACAAAGTGACAAATGACATTTGAACAAATCTGTGTTTAACTAACGGTGATACAAACAGTAAGAAAATAACAGAATAACAATTATTTGTAAGAAAAAAAATAGATAAAGAAAACATTTTAACTGACTAAAAGTGGTGATTATCAGAATCTTAGTTACATGTAAATATGGTGATTATAGAAGGCTCCAGTTCAAAACAGGACATAGATTCAGTAGGTTAAGATTGAATACGAACCTGTATTTTGTTAGTTTAGCTAGAAGCTGGACAGTTTTCTTGCATGTTGTGCCCATGATGTAAGTCTTATTATGGAGCTCATGAACTCTGCATACAAGCACCGTAACCAGTGTTTTGTACAGAACACAGAATAAATGTTAATAACAAATAGACACCTGAAAACAAACAAGAAACAATATGAGTTTCGTTTAGGTGAAATAAATGTTAAGCTAACAATGTCTGCATTTTGTGTTCATGTACAGTAAGAGTTAAGAAGTGATGTAAATATGTTTAGGTACATTATAATAAACTTTTAATTAAAACACTATTTATTACGTAAAACTTGATCAACTGCGACATGCAAATATCAGTCAAGGAAAAGAAAACCGTTGAAAATTGTTACATCTTTTACGTCAGCATGAAAGGTACATGTAGTCGCCAATAAAAGACTAACTTATGCTAAAGAAATACCACTAACGAACCAATGATAAATCAACAACACACAAACAGGCAATGTTAAAATCAGTGCTTAAGTTACAGTATTACATTTTATGTGTAGACCAGCATAAAATAATGAATAAAGAGATGGCAAATCAAATGAATTTCAATGAGTTACTAAATTCTTTATTGAATTTAGTTGCCATCTTAAACATGTCGTTCATCACTTTGATCACTTAGAATAAAAATGTTGTTTTTTTATCAAAACTTGGATAGAATCATACTTAGAACACAGATATTGGTCGATGTTGGCGGAATATTGTCAGAAACAATTGTCATAACGACTGACAATGACAATAAAATTGTCAGAGCAAAGCCGATCTTTTCGCCGCTCTCAACAGGCAGAATAAACACAAATGGTGCCATCGTGGCAAGAATGATAACTGGGAGGAGCATGTTCAACAGATAGTA